CAGCCAGGTGACAGAGGAGATCCCAGCGCTCCAGCCATTGCCGGGAGGGGGGATGGATTTAATTCACAATAATCCAGTGATGCTCGACTGGCTCACATCTTCCTGCCAGAATAAACCACCTCAAGTGCTCCCTTGGCTGTGCTCAGAGTCAACAGTAGCTGTTCACCTCCCTTTCTAGGCTGATTCTGAAGGAAAACCGGGGTGATGGTTATAGGAATGGCGTTCGAGGATTCGGAGCCAGCGTCGTGCTCCTCATATGCCCAAGGCATTCCTGCCAGCAGCAGCTTGGTGTTTAAATGTCTTTCAAAACACAGGGAATTATTTAAAAATCCAAAACTGTTGCTGGACACTGAGGACAGCCCTGAGGAATAAAGTCAAATGATTTTTTTGCTTTTCCCTGGGGAGGAAAGAGCTGGGAATAATGCTGAGAGGGGGAGATGCATGCACACGCTTCCTCAGCATCCCGCTGGGTGGTTCAGCAGGATGGGGATGATCTGATGGCGGCAGCCAAGACTTTGGGATCCTGAACACATCCTCTGGCTTTGTGTTTGCTTTTTGTGGGTGCCCAAAGGCTGACGTGCTGCTCTTGGCAGAGCCTGGCCCGAGGGCACGGCAGGCACAGCAGTAATTAAAAAGCAAACTCATTAGCTGGGAATAAAGCCCCGGCCTGGAAAGGTTGGGAGAGAGGGAGAAGCTGAGTCCATGGGCTCTGGGAAGCCCTGGCTGGGGAGTATCAACCACAGCCAGTCCCAGGAATATCTTATTCCTGGAGGGCAGTGATTTGGGAGGGCACCAGGCACTGGAGAGTCACTAGAAGAGATTGGAATGCTCTTTTCTTGGGATTTTGGGAATCTCCCAGGCTTGCTCTGTCATGGGCAGGTGGGATGTGTCCTGTAGTGGGAGCTGATTTCTTCCTCCAGCCTTGACCAGACTCTCATTCTCTGGGGTTTTGCAGCAGGTTTGGGGAGGTTGATGGGATTTCTTTCCCTTCTCTAAAGGGAATAATTGAAGAAAGAGGAGCTGGGAAGGAGCTGTTTGTGTTCAGTGGGACTCGCTCTGTGCCGGAGGGAGGGAGAGCTCGGGGAAAGCATTTCCTGCACTTTCCCTTTGAAGGTGATGTTGGATTTCAAATGTGAGAGGCAATTTTCTGTGCTGCTTAGATTTAAATTTAAAAAAAGTATAAGATCAAGAAAAAAAAAAAAAGGAAAGAGTAATTTTGGCAACAGCATTTGATATAAAAAACCTTCAGTTTGATTTCTAGTGGAAAGTGTCCCTGCCCATGGCAGGGGGCTGGGATGTGATGGTCTTTAAAGTCCCTTCCAACAAAACCCCTCTGTGGTTCTGGGATTCTGTGAATATTTTTTAAATTAACCTTAAGTAAAGGTTATGCTGAAACAAGGTTTGAATTTAAATATTCATTTGGTGCATCTCATACAGAATTTTTTATTTAACAATTTAATGCGCTTTCAGGACTCAAACTTTAATTTCCATCCTTTAAAGACCAGCATGAAAATGCTGTAGCAGAGAAGGGGAAGAAAATTCAATTATTACTTTTAGTTTTATTGAAAAATGTATTCACAGGTTTAGTGTCACCTTCCCCTAATCCCTTCCAAAACACTTGGGACTTACGGAGAAGATATTTTCCATTTTGGAGTGTGGGAGAATCTACACATACAAACTCCCCTGATAATGTCTTTTGTGAAATGTAATGTCTTTATGTGAAATGTTTTTAATTTTTCCAGTGGAGCCAGGCTGGGAGAGCTGGGGGTGCTCATCTGGAGAGGAGAAGGCTCCAGGGAGAGCTCAGAGCCCCTTGCAGGGCCTAAAGGGCTCCAGGAGAACTGGAGAGGGACTGGGGACAAGGGATGGAGGGACAGGACACAGGGAATGGCTTCCGCTGCCAGAGGGCAGGGATGGATGGGATATTGGGAAGGAATTGTTCCCTGTGAGGATGCTGAGGCTCTGGCACTGCCCAGAGCAGCTGTGGCTGCCCCTGGATCCCTGGCAGTGTCCCAGGCCAGGTGGGACACTGGGGCTTGGAGCAGCCTGGGACAGATGGAAGGTGTCCCTGCCCATGGCAGGAGGTGGAATGGGATGACCTTTTAGGCTCCTTTCAAGCCAATCTATCCTGTGATTCCATGATTCAATACTTTCTGTAGGAAGTTCACTTTGCTTACAGGTCAGAGATTATCACTTCATTTCCCTGTGTTTTGGGTTATTCCCCTCAGTGTGTTACGGACGAGCTGCGAGATGTCAAATTTCCAATCTCCATCAGCAACTGAGGGGGACTGAAGTCTTAGGTCTTAATTAACATGCAGCATGCAAGCAGTCTTTGATGTACAGCCATGTTTTATTTATTTGGGAAGGGAAACACCAGCAGAATGGTTCTAACTTGGTATAAAAATCATCGTAACATGACCATGGAATTAAAATCAGGCTAACTTGATCACAGGGAAAAAATAATTCCCTATATGCCAAGGGGGAGGGGGGGGGGGGATTAAAAAATGGATGGTTTTCTGTTCCTACAGGGAAGAAATAAAAGCAGGGAGAGACCGTGAGATAGTTTGTTATTCATAATCAGGATCTTGTCTCCTAATTCATGGCTTTGGCATTTCTCATGCCAGCCCTGAATGTCGTCTTTGTGCCTTGGCTCACGTCACGACTCCGATTGTGCTCGTGTATTCTTGAGGCAGGACCTAGAAAAGCAATTTTCGAGTGTCCCATCAAACACTCCTGGAGCACAGGCGGGTTTTTGTTGTGGGGCTGTGTTCATTGAGCAGGGAGGGCTGGCTGGGGCTCCGCAGGGCTCTGGGGGTCAGCGGCTCCCGGCAGGGCCAAGAGGGGATTTTTGGAGCCTGAAATAGTCAAGAGTTAGGGATGACGCAGCCTCTGCCGGAGCCCTGAATGGGAATTGTGCTCCTTGTCCTTGCAGCTGTGGGGGGATGACTCCCATTGGATGGGAAATGGGAGACCGGTCAAGTTTTCTTAGGACTCTTTTCCAGCAGGGAATGGCAACTTAAGGCTCATTTTTGGGGAGAAAAGGAGGAGGAATGGTTTTCGAGGCACAATCACAAGTGGTAGGATGTTCCTTCTGCCTGAAACCGTGTTGAGTTTTGCATGCTTGGGAGGTTTGGGGGTGTCCAGCCTGGAGAGGAGAAGGCTCTAGGGAGAGCTCAGAGCCCCTTCCAGTGCCTGAAGGGGCTCCAGGATACCTGAAGAGGGACTGGGGACAAGGCCTGGAGGGCCATGACAAGGGGAATACATGAGATCCCAGAATGGTTTGGCTTGGAGGGACCTTAAAGCTCGTCCAGTGCCACCCCTGCCATGGGCAGGGACACCTTCCACTGTTCCAGGTTGCTCCAAACCCCAATGTCCAGCCTGTTCTTGGACACTGCCAGGGATCCAGGGGCAGCCACAGCTGCTCTGGGCACCCTGTGCCAGGGCCTGAGCACCCTCCCAGTGAACAATTCCTTCCCAATATCCCATCCATCCCTGCCCTCTGGCAGTGGAAGCCATTCCCTGTGTCCTGTCCCTCCAGGGTTTTGTCCCCAGTCCCTCTCCAGCTCTCCTGGAGCCCTTTAGGCCCTGGAGGGGGCTCTGAGCTCTCCCCAGAGACCTCAAACACAGTGTTAAGGTGAGTTTGAGTGCTTATCTCTGGGTCAGAGTGTGCTGCTCTCCCCAAAATCCCTGGCTGTGGCTTGGGAATCAGTTCTTGGCAAGGAATCCTTGCTGTAATGCTGCTAGGGAGAGAGGGGAGCAGAGAAAAAGCCACAGGAAGGAAAGCAATAGGGAAGTGGAGAGAAGTGCTTGTGGATTGAAAAATAACAACACTTCCAGTAATGTGACCTTTTGCCGAAAATGTTTCCATCAAAAAAAGAAAGTCTCCTCCTCCTCCTCCTCCCTGGATGAGCCGAGTGCAGGGAGGGGTGAACATGCTCCTGGACCTCTGCTCCATGAGAGTATTTGGGAAAAACCCTATGGGAACTCTTTCCCTGGGATAGATAAAATTAATGTCCTGACAGAGGATATGGAGAAGAAACCCCCACCTTTATTTTCCAGTTTTGCTGAAGCTCAGTGTTTCTGAGGGATTAGCCTTTGTTATCCTGTAACTGATGTTCATTCAAAGCTCTCAGCAGAGTTACTGAGGGATTGCCCGAGAGAGAGAGAGAGAGAGAGAGAGAGAGCAAATGTTACTAATACAGAATACCTGTGAAAGGCAGAACCGTCACTCAGGTGGAATTTAGAAGATTTTTAGTCATTCATGGGGTGGCAGTAATTATTTATTTTTTTTTTTAGGAGAAACAAGCTGTGTTCAGGTGTTGCAAAAGGGTTGTGGCTTGTCACTGCCAGAGAGCAGGGATAGATGGGATTTTGGGAAGGAATTGTTCCCTGGGACGGTGGGCAGGCCCTGGCACAGAGTGCCCAGAGAAGCTGTGGCTGCTCCTGGATCCCTCTAAGTGTCCATGGCCAGGCTGGATGGGGCTTGGAGCACCTGGGATAATGGAAGGTGTTCCTGGCCATGGCAGGGGTGGCACTGGATGGGCTTTGAGGTCCCTCCCAAGCCATACTAGTTTGGGATTTATTATACAACACTTCGTGGTTTTTGCATGAGTTTCTTAAAGGGAGAGCATCATGTTCCTGGCCACGGCAGTCCGTCAGTTCATCCATCACAAGTCAGGATTAATGCTTTCTGTGAAGTCTCAGATTACTCTTTATCCTCCTTATTTCCCGTGGTGCTGCATGAGTGGAACAGAGCTCTGTGTGTGTTTGGAAGGCATGGATGTGTCCCACATGATGCGCTTTGCTTGTAGCAAACACAGGGGTTTGTAGGAGGTGGTGCCTGGTGGAAAACTTGTTGATCCCTGAATTCCTGTAGTCCTTGCTTACCTCTAAGGGAATGGTGTGAACTTCATGGTGCTGCTCTTGATGCAGACCACGGTTGCTCCATCCTTTGCTGGCTGAGGACCACGCTGACCCTGCTCTGGTGTTCTCCCCCGCAGTTGACGTGAGCACAGCCCTGCCCTTGCAAGTGGCGCCGAGCTCAGTGCCCATGGACCTGCGGCTGGACCACCAGTTCTCCATGCCGGTGACGGAGCCTACGCTGCGGGAGCAGCAGCTGCAGCAGGAGCTGCTGGCCCTCAAGCAGAAGCAGCAGATCCAGAGGCAGATCCTGATCGCAGAGTTCCAGCGGCAGCACGAGCAGCTCTCTCGGCAGCATGAGGCGCAGCTGCACGAGCACATCAAGGTAAGGGTGGCCAGGGACGAGGGGGTAGTGGAATTGTTGAGGTTGGAAAAGCCTTCCAGGATCATCCATTCCAACCATCAACCCAGCAGCACCACCACAGTCCCCAAGTGCTGCATCCCACAAAACTTCTGAGCAATTCCAGGTGTGGTGAGTCTACCACTGCCCTGGGGAACCAGTTCCAAAACCTGGCCACTGTTTCAAGGAGGATATTTTCCCTCATCTCCAGTTTAAACTTTTCCTGGCACCACTCAAGGTTGTTTCCTCTTGTCTTGTCCCTTGCTCTCCACCTTCCTCTCAGGATGCCAGAAGGTCCCTTCAAGCCTCCTTTTCTCCAGGCTGAGCCCATTTCCCAGCTCCCTCAGCCTCTCCTGGGACTGCAGCCCTGTCTAGGTTTGGAAATACAGGTGTCTGCTAAGGAATGCAGGAGCCTCCCCTGAAATGGAAAAATGTAAACTCCCTCCCTCTTAACTGTTATAAATTTGAAATTAAGGGGGGCTCTCAGGCAAAAATATGGGAGCAGGAATAGCAGTTCTTTATTAGGGAAGAAAATAAAAAGATAAAATAAACAATGCAGTAAAGTAAAACAACACTGACAGAGTCAGGACACAACCTGACACCATGTTGGTTAGGGTGCTGGTAGCAGTCCAATAGGAATTGTGGCTGCACCAGCCACAATTGGAGTGTCCTGGAGTGTCAGGTGTGGTTCTGTTGGAGCAGGGATCCTGTAGAAGGGTGTAGTCTACCTCAGAAGATCCAGTGGAAGATGCAGCTGTTCCTCTGGGAAATCCAGTGGAGAAGCTGTGCTGGTGTTGCAGAATCTCAGATGATATCCAGGTAGGAATGGTTGGCTCCTCCCTCTGGGTGGAGCATCTGCCAATGGGATGCTATAGTTCTTATCAGCCATGCAGGGACATTCAATAGCCTGTTATCAGCAGATGTCCTCCTGGAGGAAGGATTGGGTGTGGAAGAGATAAGGAAAACTGCCCACTTAACAGAAGACAGCTGCCATGCAGATGGCAAATAGAATACAATTTTGCTTGGCAATCCAGGACAAGCCCCTTCCCAGCTCCATTCCCTTCCCTGGACACGCTAAATGTCTCAATGGATGTGTCCCTAGCAGGAGGTTACCTGCTACTGTGGTCACACATTTTGGGAGTAGAGGCACAGGAACTTCTCGTTGGACATTTGCCATCAGCACGAGCTGCAGACAGCGTGTGGACCGTGGTGGGACTGCAGGAACAGGGAGTGCAGGGGCACTGCCTGCGCGTGGGTCTGGACACATTCAGATTTTTCAGAGTTAGGCACCAGGCAGGTGCTGTGCCCTGTGTGGGACAGGGAGGAGCCAGGCAGGATCAGTGGGCAGTCCAGTCTGGAAGATGGCTGTTGCAAGTGAAAACATGAGACATTATATAAATATTTCCCAGTGCTGGACTATTGCTATGGCAACATAAGCTTTCCGAATTGGTAATAGGCTCCTTTTTTCAAAGGGGGATTAGTACTGCACATGGTAAATAGCCTTAATGTAATATTAAAAAGCAACCTTGATTCAACCTTATATAACTTTCATTTCAATACAAAATGCATGTCAGAATGGGAAAGATGGGATTAAAAGTTAATGGGGTGTTATTTACAGACTTCTTAGTACAGAGAAGAGCTGGGCTTTGTGAGAAGTGTCCCTGTTTGAAGCTGGATTCATAGCAAACACTCCTGTCCCTTGGTGAGTCCTCTGTGCTGTGGCCAGGGCAGAGGTGAGGAGGTGCCTGGGTGTGAATATATTTATACATGGATGCAGTGTGTGCATCTCTGGGTGTGTATGGAATGTTTACATATTCCCATGTTTCTGTGATTGCACATTTGCCCATGGCTGGCACAAGCGCTTGGGGTGGGGGAAGGATGGAGAATTCCTGTGACAAATATTTCCATTATTCCCTTATAATTGTCCATGCCTGGAGTTATTTGTCTGTGAAAAATCAGGCAGGCTCATTCCCATTTAATGGCCAAGCTCAAAGCACTGGTGATAGGAACATATTTGCTCTCATTTATGTCAAAAGCTTTGACTTAATCTGCTCAAAATCTGTGTAAGGAGGAAGCTGAGCTCGAATTTTGAGACACCACAGTATATCCAGCCCATTAGGTAATGAAGTTCTTCATCTTGTGTGTAAGCCTGGCTAAATCAGAGCCTTAAAATAGGGATGGTATAATCCTGTACCAAAGGGTGGCCTGCAAGGTGATCTCTGAGAGTAGTAAGTGTGTCAGTGGGACCAGAGTTGCTTTAAAAATCAAACAACACCTCATTGAAATAAGCCCTGTGATGCCTCACAAAGAAAATGACCCCCACACACTACCCCAGTGTGCATTTTCTCTGGGAAAACATCCTGCTTGTCTCTGTGTGCTGGAGTCAGCCCACATTTAGGTGACTCTTAGAACTGGCAACTGTGTTAAGTCCAGTGCCTGTGAGTGCAGGGAAGCAATTATTTTGCCCAGAAAATTAAAATACCTAACTTTAAATTTGGACTCAGAGCTGCCCAGCTCATGAAGAAAGCGGGGCAGGGATGTTAAAGCAAATAAAACCCATTCATCTTCTGCAAGTGAAGCACTGGAGCTGTGCAGTTTGGTATAGATACAGTCCTGAGTGAAGATGCAGAGCTCTTTTTGGAGAAATTTATTTGTTTGGTTTTTTTTTGGTGTTTTTTTTTTTTTTTTTAATCCCATGTGCACACAGGCATGAACACCCCATGGCAGGGGTTGGGAATGGGATGAGCTTTGAGGGCCCTCCCAACCCAAACCATTCTGTGATTCTGCGATAATGTTAAACCCAGAATTTTCCAAATTGCTTTGGAAACTGCTTCAGTGAAGGGGGAAGAATTACAGCATTTTACTCTGTTCTGTGTACGTGATACTGTCTAGTATTGATCACTTTGGCTTTTTCCCCTATAGCCTGGCATCCACCATTTTAGTCAATGAGTGCAAAGCATTTACTTCATAAAATCCCTGAAAGCTTTGGGATGGCAGGGACTCTAAGGATCATTTAATTCCAGTCCCCTGCCATGGCAGGGACACCTTCCACTGTCCCAGGCTGGTCCAAGCCCCAATGTCCAACCTGGCCTTGGACACTCCCAGGGATCCAGGGGCAGCCACAGCTGCTCTGGGAAATCTGTGCCAGGGCCTGCCCACCCTCCCAGAGAAGAATACCTTCCCAATATCCCATCCATCCCTGCGCTCTGGCAGTGGAAGCCATTCCCTGTGTCCTGTCCCTCCAGCCCTTGTCCCAGTCCCTCTCCATCTCTCCTGGAGCCCTTTAGGCTCTGCAAGGGGCTCTGAGGTCCCCTTGGAGCCTTCTGCTCTCCAGGTGAGCACCCCCATCTCTCCCAGCTGATGAATCTTTCAAACAGCTCCTTTGTTTCCAGTGTTGACTCCTTTGCTAGTGCAGGAGAAGTCATACTTTGGGGTTATTTCTTTTATTGCCGTGGTGTTGGTGGGAATAGAGGAACTGGTCTGACTTGACAGGAACTAAATAGGGGTGAGCCCCCCTCAATCCCATCCCGCAGACAAAGCAGGAGTCTGAGGAACACTTCAGTGAGTGAAGTTTGGCCTGGAAAATCCTGGCATGATTGCCTGTTTTTCTATCCCTGTAGATAACATTTTCCTATTGAGAGCTGAAGTTTTGGCTTTTTCCAGAGCTTGGAATTGCTTCCATCCGTTCAGTTTTAATCATCTGACCTAGTGCAGGGGGAGAAGGCGATGACTGCCTGAACATGTGATCCTTTCCCCGGCGTTCCCAGTCCTTGCTTTTATAGACATTGTGTTTTGGCCTTCACATAAAAGTGCCAGATTCCCCAAGATGGTGCAAGTTGGAGAGAGCCAGGAAATTAGTGAAACAGTACTTGTGGAAGGGCTCTATAATGGACACAGAGCTCAGCACAGGGGAGGAGTGGGAGGGTAAGGAGAAAACACAGGGATGGAGAGAGGGATAGAAGGGGGAATGGCTTTGAATTGAAAGAGAGTAAGTTTAGATTGGGTATTAGGAAGAAATTAGTGATGAGGCATGGGGCTTGGAGCAAACTGCTCTAGTGGGAGATGTCTCTGCTCACAGCAGGGAATGGGCTGAGCTTTAAGGTCCCTCCCAACCCAAAGCATTCTGGGCGATTCTGTGAAAACCCTGACATGTTTGGGAAAATAAGCCAAGCCTTTTGAAGGCTTCACTGTACAGAGCAGGGCAGGCTGTTTCTTTCACAGCTGCAGAGCTCTGCAGATTGCCCAGGCCTGGCTCCAGAAAGCACCAAGGGAGAGGCTGGAGGCACTGGCAGCTGCTCCTCTCTCCAGTAGCCACTCACTTTCAGTGAGGTGGGTTTTCCACTCCTCCGTGCATTCGCCAGATGTGGGACAACATTTATGGCCTTCAAATCTGCTTTCCTGAACAAAACCAAGGATGGAATAAGGGGCCTGGCTCTTGGGTGAGATGGTGGAAAGCCTCTCCACAGGTCCCGCTGCAAGCTTTGCCTGACCTTTGGTCGTGGGGGAACAGGCAGGGAATTTTTTCCTTTGTGAGTCACTCATTCCCAGCTAAGATCAGCTGGAAGTTACCAAAAGCTTTTCCGTTTGCCCTTCTGGTCAAGGGCTGGATGGAAGAGGCACAGGATGGGCACTTTGGCAGGGCCAGATGCACCTCGGGTGCTGTGAGCTCAGCAGGGAGGGAAGGACGTCGTGGGGAATGTGGTTCATCTGCTCTGTCTGAGCTTGGAGCAGGGCTCTTCCCAGCTCCGGCTGTTTTACAGCCACAGCCGGAAACTTCTCGGGGATGCTGACGCACGTCGGTGCCAGGGTAACAGCACATGGAGGCAGCTGAACCTCCCAGCTCCTCGTGGGCCTGAAATCCTCAACTGCAGGTGTGCAATCCCATTCCCAGTTTTCCCACTGTCTGAGAAAGGACTGTGTGCATCCATAGCACAGGGAGTGCTGGGCTGTGAGTCCAGCATAGACAGGATGGGCAGGGAAGCAGC